TTCGGTAAGGAAAATTATGTACAAATAGTTTTATCCTTTTCTTTTTCAACCTGAATATTCCATTTATTGAAAACTCCAAAACTAACAGAATTCGTGACTCGAAGCAAACATACTAATTCAATACTTACGATGTAGTGAAGTGAAATGCTCGTTCTTTTAAAACAAAAATGTAAGGTATTTATAATTTGTTAGCACCCAAGAAAAATATAAATTCAAACAAAATTTCGTTAGTTAAGTTACAAACTTGGTAATCTTATAGACTGGATGGGTGAATTGAAATTTGAAGGAATTTCATTCAGAATGCATGATTTTTTATTTTTTGGGTTTAAGATAATAAAAAGAAAGGAAGAAATTATTTTATTTCCTACTTCCACAAGTGGACCAGATGGTTTTTTGATCAATTTGAGTCGAAATTTGCTACATATTTTAAAATCTCTACACAAGCCCCCAAATTGCATCTAAAATATTATTCGCACCCTCAAGTCCCTAAGACCTTGCTCTTTAGTCTACATCGAGACCGTGACTCATCATGCTGAATAAATTGTTCTCACTGTCGGTGCCGACCATCTACAAACTTATAATCAATCGCATCTACACCTTCAAGTTAATGATCAAATAAATTAACGGCTAGTATTACTTTCAAGCAGACCCACATCCGTCAATCAAAAATCACATTCGTTGATTCTTAACTTCCAAATGGCACCAGTACGTCGGTGTAGGAAGACAGTGGCTCGTGGCCCCACATAGCCATAGAAAAGTAAGGAATTCTGGAATCTAGATCCAATCCATTAAGAATTGTTCTACTTTGCTTTGACATCCTCATTGGATGGAAATGATTATAAATTATATTTTTATTTTAAATTAACCGAAATTGGCAGAATTCACGGTTTGGTGATGAACTTAGTGATATGACTAAAGTAATCGATGATTGTACTAGGGGCAGATTTCAAGGCTCTACCGCCCAATAAAAAATAATTTACTTGATAAAATAAAATTTATATGAATTATTTTTTAAATTTATGCCAAATTCAAACTAATTTTGTTCCCTTGGCTCCACACTATATACTTCACTAGTGATGGCAATGGGGCGCACACCCCACCACGCCATTCCCCCGTCCCGCCTCGCCTTAGACGGGGTGGGTGGGTCTCGGGGGTGCGGGGCATGAACTTGTCCCGTTTTCTGCTCCGTTTTTTTTAAAAAAAATTTTTGGTTAAAATATAAATTCAAAATTTTAAAATTCAAAATAAATAATGTTCAAATTAATTACATCAATATTCAAAGCAAGCACTCGAAATAAAAAAAATGTCTAAAACAAACAATATCCAATATATATAATTCTTCACGGGGCAGGTTCGGTTTGGGGCGGGGCGAGGCGACGGTTTGGGCGGGGCGACGAACCTCGCCCCACCCCACCCTGCCAACCCGTTCAGAGCTGGGGCCTGCAGGGATGGGGACAAGATGGGGCGGGATAGGGAAAATTGCTATCTCTATACTTCACCCTGGTTTAAGCTCCATTTTTTTAGAACTCTTTTTTTTTTTTCAAAATTTATTTTCAACTACACATTTTTTTATAAAATAATTTTACACGTAACCTCAAATTTGTTTTTCGACTTTTTAACTATATATTCTCCTAAAAATTACTATTATAAAACTCTTTTTTTTCCCCAAAGAATGGGGTTCAAAAAGGGGCTTAATTAATGTTATATGACTAATATAAACAAACCTGTAAGTTGGGTGACTTCTGTGGTAAATATCCCTCATTCTCCTACTCTATCTCACGCAAAGAACACGCGCACACGGACGCACGCAAACGGAGAGCTACGCAGACCTAGACAGACAAGAACTGAGTGAATTTTTCGCGCATCCAAAACAATCTTAACATCAAACCCATAATTCTACTCGTTTCTTCTTACAAGATTATATAGTTTTCGAAGGGCCTTCCTTTCTCTTCTTGAATCTAACAGGTTTGCTTAATTTTCACGTTTTCTTTTACGCGACTTTTAATTGTTTTTGGTTTTTTTAGCGATATGGATTGTATGAATTTTGATCTGATGGTAAATAATATATAGAATTGGTGAATTCTGTTAATCGATTATGTTACAAATTGTTGGATTATGAATTTGATTAGTTTTGGTTTATATCTATCAGTTCGGTGACTGAACCTAAGCAAATTTTTGTTTGATTTTCTGGATATGATAACTGTTCAGTTTTTGGATCTTAAATTCTGGGTTGAATTAAGTGAAATTATCAGCTATCGTACATCACCATTATTACTGAACCAATGGCCTATGAACGTAATTAGTTTCTAATCAGAATCTGGGCCTTCTCATGAAAAAAAAAAAATCGTAGAGTTTGAGGAGTTTCACAGTTGTTAGGGTTAGGAATCCTTTTTAGTATTGAAATTTGAAGAATTATACGAAGAAATGCTTATTTGGGTCACTGCAGGGTGGTTAAGGCATTACTTCGTTTGTAGTGATTCAGTTGCTGTGTTATTAGTGATTTTTTTATTCATGATGTTGTAATTGTGATTGCGATAAATGTGGTAATACAATATGCTATCTTGTGTTATGGTTTTTCTAATGCAATACTGTCCATGGTTTAGTGGGAATGTTTGTTTCATCAATGCTAAACGCTGTCTCAGCTCTTAGCATATGCATACAATTACATGTTTGGTAGAGAGTGCTCGTTAAGATTGCTGTGCATAATGAGCAGATTGCAACTTTTGATTTTTTTCCTTTCTTTTTAGTACTATTAGGTAGTCAGTACTATCCAATCATCCTTACTAAACATGCTCTAATTGTAATAATCTTTGTTGCAGGAGGGAATGGCTTGGGAGTCGTTTGAACCATAAAGGACGGACTTTTTGCTTTGTTAATTTAAATTAGCTAATTCTTTATCAAAATATGGGTAGCAAGGGTGATGGGAAATTGGGAAGCATGGCAAGGAATAGATCAAGGAGTGTATACCACTTTTCTATTCTCCTTTCTCCTGTCATTTCTTTTTGGGAATGTATTGAGCGTAAAATGAGGTATTCCTTCAGACCCGAGTGGGTGTAGGTACATGTGTCACAACAATAAACATTATCTTAGTTTCCAAGTTGGGAATTTAGTATATTAATAGAAATTAAATAACAAGTTTTGCAAGAAAAAGGAAACATACAGGTAGACTGATAATGTACATGTCTTAGGGAAATTTTCTTTGAAAGAAAGAAGAAAGAAAATCAAGAAAAGAATACAAATACAGGATACTATGGAGTGTGCAAAAGTACAGACTGGTATTAGAAAAACCAAAAAGAAGCCGGTGAAGGATGAGCTAGATCGTATTAAACAAGCTGAGAAGAAAAAGAGACGCTTGGAGAAGGCCCTGGCCACTTCTGCAGCCATCCGTTCTGAACTTGAGAAAAAGAAGCTGAAAAAGAAAGAAGAACAGCAGAGGCTTGATGAAGAAGGTGCTGCAATAGCTGAGGCAGTTGCACTGCATGTCCTACTTGGTGAAGACTCAGAGGATCCATGTCAGGTCATGCTGAAGAAGGATGAGGGTTTTAACTCGTGGGATTATGGCAGCAACTTTGATCTCATTACTGGGAGAAGGCAGGGACTAGTTCCCGATCACGAATTGACGCAATATTCGCTTGAAGAGATAGGTTGTTTTTCTGATTCTCACAGATATGGTTACATGTGGAGTCACCAAGGGAATTCTGACTGGATTGTCTCTTCTGATCCTTGGGGAAGAGATTTCCATGGGCAATATTTTGAAGAGGAAGGTTGGGATGCTGCGGGTTTATCTCCTGGTTTCCTTGCAGCACAGGCTGTTTCATCACTTCGAATTGCTGATGATTCACAAATAGACACGTACATATTCAACCGTATGTTAAATGACTAAAAATAAATGGTTTGCATATATCGACCGATCAAGTTGCCATGTTGTGCCAGTTTTTCTTTGCTGTATATATTTAAGCGAGTTCACTTTATTCGATGTCATGCTTGAATCCAAGACATCTGTTCACAGTTTGATCTTCCAACCTCTTACTGGTTGTTTCTTATTGCTTGGAATTTCAGCTTTACAATTTTGATATATCAATTCAGTGTTGTTTCGTCTGTATATCTATATCCATTATTGACATGAATATCAGAACGTGATTAATGCAACATATGTTTGCATTCTCACTAACATTCAGGATTGGCAATGCTAATTGAATATTGGTTGCAAGTTTTCTGGTCTCTATTTCTTGAATAATCCTTGGATGAATTTGATCAAGTTCTTAATATGATGATGTAATGTGTTATGTTCTTCCTCTCTTATCCTCCCCTCTGAGACTTGTAATGTATTGCTATGTTTGGAAGGTTAAATAATTTCCTCTTGTAATAGCTAGTAATGTATTGGGTTAACTCTTATTTTAGGGAGGGGAGTGGGCAGCGTGGAACTTTGGCTGTTCTGTTATTGGGAATTAACTCCTAAATCTCTAATTGTGGTAGCTACAATAACTCTACAAGACTGCAGTCGTTAAGTAAGATTACGGTATGGTCACGCTTGATGCAGTGCAAAAGGTTGTTAGCAAACCACTATATTTTTATGGTTCTTTTATTGTACACATATTGTCTGTTTTTTACTTAAACAAAAAATTAATCAAGTTTCTTCAGTACTTTATGAATTGCTATATTTATAGCAAAGCTTCGCGCACAGCAATTATTTTTCCCCCTGTTCTACAAAAAGGCAGATCCAAACAGAACAATAAGCAGGGAGTGAAACGGACTGATTCGATTAAAAATGAACAAATAACCCTGATAATATTGACGATGGCATGTAAATGATAAGAATTACTGTTAGATTCATCTCTATTTCGAAATGTTAACTTTTGCACCTGAACATTAGTGTACAAATTCAGATACATGAAACTAACATTTTACACGAATCCACTAGGACCACAACAAAATAACTTGCCAAAGTTTCTGTGTACATTGCCAGCACGGAAGATGATGATGTTGGTAATGATATGGTATCAGATTGCAGATCGTGAACTCTGCATTATTGGAGTTTCTGCTCCTTGATGCTTACGCTCCCTCATCAACTCTTCATCCCGATTGTCCAGTTCTGAACTAGTAGATGGCTTAGAACCAGAAGAAATAAGGTTCTTGAACCAAGTAGCTTGGAATCTGGGACTTCCTCTAGGAGAGTTAACAGGGGACCCTGGAGTTGCAATTGAGTTGTTAGAAGCAACTCCAGCAAGGAATCGGTATGCTATTTTGCTAGCCGCTACAATTTCAGTTTTAGCTTGTCTCAACTGCAACAAAATCCAAAATCAATTAGACGAAAAACGTATACAAAACTTGGGGGGATGTTGGTGGGCTTCTCGATCCCTCATTTGTATGGCTTCAAAAAAATGATATTCCATGGGTAGACATGCATGTAGCTAGTTATATCAACAAAGATAAGAGTATCCTCAAGAGACTATCTATTTATAAAGAGCATCTTATTTATAGTAGAGAGCACTTTAGATTTAAAGTAAAATTTTTTATCACTCTTAAGAGCATATCAAAGAGATTCTTTATTTATAAAGAGCATATTGGTCACAATAGAGAGTATCTTTATATATATATTTTTTTAAAACCGTGAATGTTCGGACTAGTTTGAGCGCACCTCGACTAATCTCACGGGGCCTAAAGTTTATGGCTGGATACTTACCTCAGTCGCACTGAGAGGATTTGAACTGGTGATCGTTGAGGAGCAAACCGAAGGACTGACCAATTGAGCAACCCCTCAAAATTGCATCTTTATATTTAAAAAGTAATTTTTATATACTCCAACAAACTCTTTATTTTTTGCTCCAATCATCATTTATTGTTTTTCCCTCATTTTTCAATTGACATATATATTTTTTTATGTCAATCGATAAAATATTCAATATAATCTATAATATATTAACACCATGTTTGATACTCTTATTTTCAACCACACATTTTTCTCTCTTATTTTCAACCACATATTTTTCAATAAAATAATATTACACGTCAATCCAAAAAAATTCTTATTTTTTAATCACATATTTTCCATCAAATCACTATTTAAAATTCATTCTTGGAAGAATAATGTGCATCAAACAGGGTGTAAATATCACATCAAGTGAGAATAATTTTTTGGACTATTATAACCCTACTACAATTCAATTATTTCAATAATATCTTATGTTTCATTTTTCAATATGTATTTAATTTACATAATAAATACTATAATTAGTTCTCAATTAATTAACATTCATATTTATTTAATTAGTATTAATTAGAATTTCACATTCACATTCATGTCCATATTATTAATTCTTAATTAATTCACATTCATATAATTAATATTAATTAGAATTTCAAATTCAAGGTACAACACATTATTCACGTCCATTTATACTAATTAGAATCCGATTTCACTTGATTAGAAATTTAATTATATTCATTGTTACATATATATTCCTTTGTATTAATTCTAAATTTTTTTTTTTTTATAACCGTGGATGTCCGGGCCAGCTTACGTGCATCTTGACTAATCCCACGGGACCCTAAAGTTTACGACCTGGTACTCTCCTCAGTGGATTTGAGGGGATTCGAATTGAATATTAATTCTAAATTAATTAACATTCATATTAATTCATGGATCATATTTGCCATTCATCTTCATTTATGCATTTAGTTGTAATTCTAATACTCACATTCAAGTATGCATTTCACTATTTACATGCGTGTATATTAATTAACATTTATTTTCAGGAGCTTGAATTTCTCTTATATTTAGATCAAAAGGGTAAATGAATGGTCAAATATTACTTTCAGGACACTTAAAAAATATTTCTCAATAACGTGCAACGCACGTTCACTCTGATTAGTAATTTAAATAGTAGAGCATTGAAATTTGCAATTTCATTAAATGCAATCATGATAATATACAAATAAAAAGTGAGTTTGGCACTCCAAATGTAGATTTATTGGAATAAAAGAGAATCTTACTCGATAAGCTGTGTTTCCTGCTATTTCTGCAGCAGTATCACCAGCATTTGCAAGCCTGTTTACCCAACCTGTAATGGCAAGTGGCAAGTACATGGTCTTCGGAACAACTTTCAATAGATAACAGGAAAACAAAACAGCATCCAAGTCATGATCATTCAAATTGGAAAAATGAAACACAATGTATGCATGTATACTCTAATTTGCGATTTCAACCACATGTGCATCAACTTGTCACTTTACAATCATACACCAACAACCAATTTGCTCTATAACATTTGTCCTGCTTCAAGCAACTGATAAACCATTCGTATATTGCAGGTGAAAATGTGGCTTTTTTTCCTTAAGATTTCGTAAATTGACATGAAATACATTCTTTTATCTAGATGGATTGACAAGATATATACACACTTATTCGGTGCATATACTAAGGGATTCCACTTATATTTTGTTCGAAACAAGTGGGTATATAAATCACTACTGGACATCCCATGGCCGTAGCGTTGTTGATGAAAATACAATACAAAATGTTCAAATCCCAACAAACAAGGGAATCAGGATAACCCCAACCACCATGCCTAGTCTTTCCCCATGCATTGGGTAGAAGAGAAAAGGAGAAAAAAGGGACAATGGTTGGCTAAGTCACTAAGATAAAGCTAGTTACAATGAGAGTCATTCCCGTGATAATGCTCGCTAGAAGTACATCTAAGTCACTCTGAAATGCTAGTGGACAAAGGAATAGTTTAATGCAGTGGGAAGCTTAGAAAGCTTTTGGCTGTGGGTACGATTACAGCAGATTTCTAAAGTCTACAACAGATGAGGCAATGATCTTCAAAGGCTCAAGTTCTAATTTGGGATCTTTTGGAGACCGCAACCCCGTCCGGAGGCCTGGTTAAATCACTTTTAATTTAATTTCAAATTCAAAGGGCATTCTAGGAATTCCCAAATTTAAGATAGTTTATGCAATATGATATAGAAAGTCCTATGAGTCTTGCTATGTTTTTAAGTCATATTAGAAGTTATCAGTTTGTGTAATTAGTCTTATCTTATGTTTCTATAAGTGAAGGCCTAGTCCTTCTTGGAGTAGGACATTTCTTGACCTTATAAATAGACACCAATCCTTCACAAGTTAAAGGAGATCAAGCAATTATGTTTTGGTGGTGTTATGCCTACGGTATGTTGGGAAAACTTCCTAGATTTTTGGTCACAGTTATTTTTCTCTAATTTCGAGTAAGTTTACTTAGTGCCGAGTCATTTAACCAACTTGGATTTATTACCAAGATCCTATATATTAAAGTCCAACCAATTTTCCCCGATAGAGACCAAAAGAAACAGACTTTTGAACTTTACTGTTTATAGCAGTGAATGACAGTCCGGCAGTCCCCACCAACTTCAGAAACCTTAAACTAATCATTCATGCAAGTAACTCATCACTGCCCTAGACCTCATACACCTAAATCATCAGCACCATACCGTTACCTTAGGCAACAACTGCATCATCCGGTAATCCAAAAAATCTTATGATACCCATTTGCATTGTAATTTGGTCAATCATACATGTCATATTATATTGCAACATTTCAAAATCATTATGCTAAGATGGAGGACCTCAACTTCTCTATAAGGTGATGAAAAATGAATGCTTAGTGCCTTTGAACTGTTAAAATTTTAAATGCCATGAAGAAAAACTACCTTATCAAGCAAATTCTATTGCTAAGGAACAGTTAACATTTTTGACTCGTACACTGACTAGATCATCATTCACCCATTTTAAATTCTCAAAATTAATCACAACTGCCTTTTTTTCCCATGAACCAACATTAACAGGAGCTTGTATTCTTCACCCATTGGTAGACCCAGATGGGATTGTAAACTAAATACAAGCAAAAATGGAGACAGGATTCTTCCAAACTCATGGAAGCTCATCCCAAATACCAAAAGATAATAACAGAAAATCTCTCACTTGATCCCCAAATTGCAAGGAAAGAACAAATTTAAAGGGAGATATTCTACGTCCCCAAACAAGGTAAACTTTTGTTGATTTTTTACTTCCAAACAATTATACATGAAGACAGAATACAAGTATAGTCTGGCATCTTTTAGAAACAGTACAATGTTAGACAAATCACACTTTTGAGAGTTAAGTAGCATTACATGTATACTTTATCTCTTCCGCAAACAACACATTCTCAAGTAAATGGTATCTCTGTGTGTGCGTGCATGTCAGTGAGTGAGAGACAGGGAGATAATGAGCTGAGAGACAGAAAGGGAAAGAATACCAGGAAGCTTTGGCACGCCAAGCCTGTCACAGAATTCGTCACAGAAATGATTACAATTTTTTGATAACAAATCATATGAGTGTCCAGGCCACTCTCTACTAAGTTCCCTCAGAATCTGATTAACCTTGAAGATGGAAAAAGCTGTTGTTCCAAGTTTGATGCTTTCACGGTATCTATACATTGGATTCTTTCCAGTTGGGCAGCTAAAGACTCCAGTACCTTGTTCACAATACCCAAATGACCACTCATCTTCTCCATAAACCTGTTGACAGAGTAAAACATTCAGTTAAAGGGCATTGTAAAATCTATCTGTTCCAGAACAGATTCAAAATAATTATTTTCTTTTTTCCTTTTTTTTTTCAAAATAACTCACATACAATGGAAGGAGGTCACTTCTAAAAATCTTAAAAAATAAGCTGTACCATGAATTTTAAAGAAAAGATTCCCGGCACATGCACATTTGGATAACAAATCAAAAGAGATGGTTTTGGATATAACTCAAATGATAGTAAATTTCTATCCTCAAATACTTGATTTGTGTGAATTGAGGAAATGATATAATAGAAAGAGTAACTTATGGAAAGTTACTCAACATCACAACTATATGAATAATTCAAGGACAGACACATAAATCTTAATATGACAAGAACCAGTTTTCAACAAATTATACACCATACAAGCAAACTTGCTGAAAAATTGTAAAAATTACACAAACACAATGGACCTCTTCCTTTCCTGTTCTCAAACAAATGGTAACACCATAGTTATTGTACTACCGATACATAAGATTGAAGACAAGTCAAACAGTCATGACATGGAATACATTTGCTACATGTCACTCGGACATAAAAATTCCGAGCATACAAAATGGAGTAACCGTATTATTCAACTGTTCATCTCAAGCACCAGAGAAAGCAGCCAATCAATCATATTTGAAATGCATCCGTATTTCCAGCAGTAACACCCCTCCATCAACCCCATTCCGTCTCCTTTCGAGCCGGTTTTAACGTTCGTGGATGAGTTGTATCCACATGCTTGTAATACACCAACACTAGATCTAGTTACCAGTATAACCAGGCTAAACACACAGATACAAAATCCATCAAGTACAACTCGTATAAATGCATGGTACAAACATGTATATCTACATTGCATATAGAGAGAATGAAAAAACCTGAACGGCGCTGTGGAAGATGCCACCAAGGCCAATACCATCTTTGAAGATCTTATTGATCTGCATAATTGTATTGTTTGTCTTGTCTGAAGCACTATTCGTCACATCATATACATGGAGGATCACCTCCATTATCCTCCAATTTCCACGCTGCGAAATCAAAATCAAAATCAAAACCCTAACCCCACACTTCTTGTCCTCTCGAATTTCAAATTAATATTCAAATTGAAACGAACTCAATGATTATACCACTGCAAATTCTACTGCTAAAAACTCACAAAATTGGGGAATAAACACAATGATTGTGAACACAGGTGAGAATGGGATTGGGAATTGCAATTATTTCGGTTTATTAATTTGCCTCGATTTGCTCATTTTTTCAGTATTGATTATTTCATTTTGTAATTATTCACTTTTGCAGCTTTGCTTGATGAACTTTGCGTGCATTATTAATTGCCGGGCCTTTTTTATTTGAATAAAAATTAAAATAGGAGAAATGTGATGATAGGTTGATGCATCAACGTTTAATTGTCGGTCTTGCCACCGTGATTGGTCCAACCTCATTAAAATTATAATTTATTTTTATTTTTTTTATCAATTACACATTTTTTAATGAAATAATATTACACATAATTTCAAAACTTTTTCTTCTTTTTAAAGAATAAATTTAAATGTATAACATTGGTTTACAACAATAGTTGACAACCATGTGTTGTCAAAATCCTACCATGTAATGTAAAAAACAGTTTTCTTTTATAATGAATGGATATGATGATGTCAAATAGGACGTTGTCATCTAATGTTGTAAACCAATATTGTACATGTAGCATGATTCATTTTTTTAATTATACACATTTCAAAAAAGAGCCATACTAGTTGTACAACCGAGGTTGACAACTTCAGTTGACAATCACTCACATTGAGGCCACTTTATTTTATTTTATTTTTTTAAATTTTTTAAATTTTGGAAACCCTGCATACATGTGAGAGGTTGTCAATCTCGATTGTACAAATAGAATTTTCTTTCAAAAAATAATATTCCAACCATTAAAATTTCAAATAATGGAGCCAAACGGCAGCTAAATTTGACCAAAATGTTATAATAAATAAAATTTAATTATTTTTACTGTAACAATGTCCAATATTATTAATTTTTTGTACCAAATAAGTTATTACAGTTGTTCCAGCTTTCTATATTTAAGTAATTTTTAAATAAATAATATTTGGATTAAAGTTAAAAATGAATTGCATTTTTATGACCTAAATAAGCAACTTTTTTATTCATAAGTAAACAAAAAGTAACACATTCATTATTCAAACACGTATGAAAAATAATTATTTAAAAATAAATTTAACGTGCTATTATACTAATTTAGTCAAATACAATCTTTTACGGGTTGTGCTGAATTTCAATATAACAAAAGTTGGCTATCTGTTAATCTTCGTAACTTTAGCACAAGTAGCGTAGCAACATAAAATATATTAAAGTGGAGGATTAAGTAGAAATTTTTGAATACCCAATTCACCTTTACGTATTTTTCTATATACCTAATATACGCTTGCTTAATTTTAGTTTTGTTAATAATTAATTAATAACATCAATTCCTTACATTTAACTATATACCCAATATACCATTATTTAATTTTAATTTTGTTAATAATTAATTAATAACATTAATTCAATTTATTCAACATGAAATTTTAGAAAAAAAAATCTTTTTCTTTTCTATTTGTCAATAATTTCCTAAATTAATTTTTTAATATTATGCCACTGTTTATTTCTTATTTTTATCCATAAAAATAAAAAATATGACCGTTATCTATCACATCAAGCCATCAATTTTGAATTTATATATCTTGCGTGGAGCCCAATAACGACTATATTTTTTATTCTCATTCTACAATAATGAGAATCAGATGTGCCCTCTATTAATTTTTATTATAAAAATATAACTTAAATTTCTTTCCTCGATTGAATTAGCCAACCTAAAAAAAATAACATCTATATTTCCTTATTTAAATGGAAGTTTCATTTGGTAGTTTCACACATATCCTAACAACTAAATAATATATTTAATATAATAAAATTAAGGCATAATTGCAGTAAAAGTCTTAAACATTTGAAACACTAGCAAACTTTTTTCAAACATTTGATTTGCTGCAGTCGTCATCTCTAATATTTTCAAACGTTGCAAGCGATGCCCTTTTGGATGGTTTCTATCCAAGATGCCGTCAGTTGACCCAAAAAACTAAAGTCTGGTCATTTTTTACCAATTAAATGAGGATAAAATGATAATTTTATAATATTACCATACAAAATAATTCAAATAATTAAAAAAAGAAAAGGAAAATAATGTTTTTCTTCTCCCAACCCCTCTCCCCCAACAACCAAAACCCAAGAAAAAATAGCTACAAGCTGTCGCCCACCATCAACGCTCCGTTTGTGTCTCTATTGAATGTAATTTGGGTAAAGCTCTTTCATGGGAAGCTCTTTAGCCTTCCACTTTGTATTCTTTTCCTCAAACCTCAAATTTTGTCCGATTTCTTTCGAAATTGTCTCAAATGCCACAACTAACATATCATAAAGCGAACAACATTTTCAAGGATTTCTATGAATCCAATTTTACCAAATGATCTTGAAATTGATCACTGAAATTCAAACTCCAAGCAAACCCATAAACAGAAAAGGCCACAAATAATTATTAGAACAGTCCAAACACAAAAAAAAAAAAAAAAAGTTTCTTCGCGCGGTTCATTTTCGCCAATAATTCAAGAACATCGCCATAAGAAAAAATAAATCCAACAATGAAAAAGTTGCAAGTTGTAAGAGAAGGAAAATATATGCAAATTCATTGATTTTTTTTCCCCAAAAACTAAGTCCAGATTGAAATTGGATATTCAGACTGAGATGCATCTTCTGCAATGAACCCATTGTGTGGGTTGTCGACCGGGTGGGGGTGGGTGGTAGGCCTTTTCTTGTTTAGTTTATAAACCCATCATCTACTGCTTTGTCAATGAAGTTGAGGAGGTAGTTGTAGTACCCATCGACATTCAGTAAACCCACCTGCAAATATATATGAATTCTATCATAATTTTTTTTTTTATAAAGTTAACATTTTACCCTCATTTAATTTGTCAAAAATGGTTATACTTCAATTTTTTGGGGTCAATTGACAGCATCTTTGATGAAAACTATCCAAAAAGGCATTACCTACAACGTTTGAAAATGTTAGGAGTGCCGATTGCAACAAATCAAAGATTTGGGAAAAGTCTACTAGTGTTTCAAAGATTTGAGACTTTTGCTGCAATTATCCCTAAAAATGGTGCATACAGAATGTCACTATACAATTTGATAAATTTTTATTTTATGTTATATTTAGTCTTATTTAAAAGTTATTTTAACTGGTAGTTGCATATGAACTCCCAAGATACCTAAGTTTAAATAAAAATAGAATACTAAATGATAGGGTAATTATATTCTCACTTGAATTTTTATTAACTACACAACTAGCTGTGTCAACGAGCCGAGCCGAGCCGAGAAAAAAAAGCTCGGGTTCGGCTCGAGCTTTTTTAGGCCGAACTTTTTTGGGCTCGAGCCGAACCGAGCTAACCTCGGCCAAAAAAAATGAGGCTCGGTCCGAGCCTTAGCGAGCCGAGCCGAGCTCGGACCGAGCCTTTTGAGTTTTTTTTTTTTCCGAACTTTTTTGGGCTCGAGCCGAACCGAGCTAACCTCGGCCAAAAAAAATGAGGCTCGGGCCGAGCCTTAGCGAGCCGAGCCGAGCTCGGACCGAGCCTTTTGAGTTTTTTTTTTTTAATGTCAAATCTATATTTTTGCTTGAAAAATTCAAAATTTATATTGTTAATGCGTACTATAAATTAAATAAAAAAGCTCGGGCTCGACTCGAGCCTTTTGGGATCGAGCTTTTTTTGGCCTGAGCCGAGTCGAACAAAGCCCGGTCAAAAAAATGAGACTCGGCCCGAGCCTTGGCTCGGTGTAACCAAGCCTGAGCCGGGCCCGACTCTAGCTTTTTCCGAGCCGAGCCCGAGCCGACGAGCTTTTTTGCCATCATTATACACAACATTATAGTTGTAATGAACATTTATATTCTTTGTTCATTTTTACACTTAAGTCCTTACTTATTTTTCGCTATATTATTATCATTATATGAAGAATAAATTATTATAACATTATATGATGTGTTGAAATTCTAAACAATCTACACGCAATATTAACGGATTAAAAATTTAAATGTATAGAGAGAACGTACGATGAAAGAAGATGAAAAGAACCTGACGAAGCTACATTTTTTGAATTTCCTACCAATGGAGATCGTGTGAAAGGGATTAAGAGATGACTATTTTTATAATTAATAATTAATGTAAATAAATGAGATGGGAGATGCAGGGCTGCTTTATGTTAATATATACACTGTGTAATAAACATCATTAAGATCATTATAGCAATACAAATCAACATTTCTCATTTTTAGAACTGTGGTCAATTAAAGCAATTTGTTGTGGGCTAAATATAAGATTTGTTGTTAATAAAAGTAATTTTTTGTGGGTTAAAGCTTGTCAAAACTTTAAAATGGACTAGACGATGCTTATGTAAGTGAATGTATTCATGTTGGGCATTGGAGTTTTGGAGAAATCGATTTGTGTGAGACAAATTTTATATAAAAAATGGCCGTTTTTGTAACTACCCGACTTCGCTCTGGAATCGTTATCTTACGTCCAGTCCGCTCTGGGGTGGGCTTCTGCCCACTTATCCCCTCACGACGTTCTGCCGCGTCCCCCAAGATTACTTACCCAATTAATACCAGGATTCAACTTAAATCTCCTATATGATGGAGGTCTTGGGTTCGAATTTTGGGGGACGCGTCAGAAAGCCGTGAGGGGATAAGTGGGCAGAAGCCCACCCCAGA